CTGTACGATATATATATATATATATATATATATATATATATATATATATTATATAAAGTCAGATATGCTTGTGCAGTTCCGAAGATTTCCTCTTGAACATTTAACCGCCATGTTCTTCGCAAACTGCATCTCCCGCGAAATTCCCGAGCGTTGCGCAGAGAAGGGGATCTGACGTGCAACAATCCCGATTATGTGCTCCTCAAAAATGTTGGCACGAAAACACTTGCTGTTCACAAATTTCCCAACAAATCGGTAAAAAAAAATTGCCACACTAAAATTTGGGATTCGAAGGCTGCTTCCCCTAAAGTCTTCATATATTCTAATTAGCATTTCCTCCCAGGACCATGGTAGGTAAACCAATGTTGATAAGAATCAATTTGCTCTCTATTGATCCGCCATAATCTTTTTCCAGTAAAGCAAGTGTAGCAGTTTGTCTCCAAAGCCTCTGTTGTCGAAGTAGATCATTTTCTCGCACTTCTGATACGGTTCATCTGCACATATGAGTATCACTAGACCATTCTAAAATCCAACGACTCCTGTGTAAGATTCAGGTTACTCATGGTTTTATTTCAAAAAAATTCTTCACTACTGATCTCGATTAGTTCTGTATGATTTACCTTACCCTTTTTTAATCTCGATTTTGTCTTTTTTAGAGCGAAACTTCCCGATGGAGTGTACTACGTACACAAACAATTTGTACATTCCTGCCGTACTTCTGCCGCCAAACATAAGGACGAACTTCGTCGACTAGAAGACCTGGCCCAAAGCCTAAGTGTTCGAGTGGACGAAAATGTTCGTGTAAGACTTGGCGTGTCTTTCTGTGGCCTTCGCAACCACGCTTCCACCTGATTCATACCAGAACCCTCAACCCGCATCACCATCATCATTAATGTGCAGTCAGTCAGTCATCTGAATCTATAGCTGATCTACTTTAAAATACATCGTGTGAGTTCCTCTGTGCGCTAGGATCAGCTAGGCTCTGTTGTGCCCGCTATTTGCCAGCTCTCATGTGTCGGCTACTGCGAAATATTGGATTGCACCAAAATTACGTTCCGCATGGGGACAGAAACTGTATCCGGCATTTAGCTCACCTGCAGTGTTCACGGCGATGTGTTCGTGTGTCTGTCAGGCCGTAATCGACTAGAAACTGACCTGAACGTCCTGTCCTGATTACCTCGAAAAATTAGCATTTTTCACCATTCACTGGCTAGCCGGAAAGTTTGTTTGCAAGTTGCATGTACTCTAATTCGGCGCGTGGGATCACGCATTGGTACTCTGAGATATATTATGCTATAATCCAAACCAACTCACGTTTGCTGTGCAATAACGAATAAATAAATACTTGGCCTAACGTCAGATTGTACGTTCTGGCGTATGTTGCAAAGTGCAGTAAGCACTCATTCACGTCAATTTTATCGTACATTTTAGCCCTATTTACGCAGATGTGTGGTCAGCTGTAAGATTCAACTCACCAGCTATCTTTTAGGGCATTCTAAACCAAACTTTGACTTTACGCTAGCGAGGTGACAATGTCAATGATCATGACGATGCAACCAGCAGACATCAAGATGGTCGCTGTACATTTGACGCTGATGGCCTACCTGGCAGAATATGCGGATGTAGTCGATGCAGCCTCGACCCAGTTGAAATCCCGCTTGTTTCTTGTCGGTCTGGGCTTCACGTGCCTCCGCGAGATTAGAAACGGTATTAATCGTGGTGCGACTATACTCACAATGAAAGCTGTATGACAACCTAATTTGCGGCAAGTAATCTTGAAAGTGGACAGTACAATTAATCAACCCCGGCTGTCTGTGGTAGCGTCCTTCCAGATAGATCTAAATCGGTTAGTCCCCACCTGCATCCTAAAAGAACTCCGGTGATTGTCGGTCAGAAGCTGGGTGACACCTGGTTGGGTAGGACACCATCCTCATCATCATTGATTTCAGGGTGGGTTCCAGTCGTCGAGATTTCGCTTGCCGATGAATAATAGCTTCGATGAATGTTTCACATTAAGGTTTTCGTTACAGATCAATAACCTGGACGCAGACAGTTGGTGGTCAGTTAAACTGTTTTTTGAGCGCTTATTCAAGCAGGCCCGTCGCTGGTTGCGAAATGTTGGATTTACTGTGGTCCTTGTTGGTTTCATTGACAAAAATTGTTAAGGATCTCTTGCAACCAACTGGCAGCGCCTGAAGATATTCCCGTTGTTTTTCACCTCCCATTTTCATTCTCCCCCCGATCCACTCAGTTCGCCTAATGTCTCATGATCTGTAGCCATGGGTTGTGGTCGCCACCTGAGGGGATCCGTCCCATAGCGTCTAGTTATCGCCAGGGTAGGTCCGAGACTCCAAGCCGATCTTTCACTCACCAAACAAACATGAAATTACAAACTACAGGAATACATCCGAATCCAAGAACTCAGTATGCGACACCCGCGGGTCGATTAGAAACATTAACCCCACTACTTCTTGTCCTTCACCTCACTCTCCGTACTTCTGCCCACTGAGGCGTAGCTCTCTGGATCTAGTAACCTCGCCTGTCGATAGTTCCATTGTTTCCGTTCTAAGAGTAGAGTATTCTACGACTTCCTGTCGTGGGCTCATGTTCCTAGTTTCGATCATGTTTGCTTAACTTCCACCTCTCTTGATGTTACAGACATTTCCGTTGTCGTTTAGCAAATAGTAATGATGCTTCCCTTTTACGTCCGTTAGGCGGTAATTGCGATAGGGTGCTTTATTTCGACCCCATTGCGGATATTCCTGTTCTCCATGAATTCAACGTCTGCAGTAAGAAGCGGCTCGTGCTTTCTTGTAGTCCACGAAGCCACATTCTTCGCTTACACCAACTCACGTATCCAACTTGTCTGCTTGCCAAGCAAAGTTCTCACCGCGATGACGAAACTGCCCACACTTTTGGCCGCTTTTTAACTTCCCATTCATCAGTTTACGCTATAGACTGTTCCCCCCTTCACCGTCGTCTTATTCATCTTGCTCGTTTTCTCCCTTGGAACCTACTTTTTTGTTCCCCACATTCTGACGGTACTCTCCTCTAAAAGCAATGTGTCAATTTTGTTGCAATTATCTGTGGGTGTGCTATCTTTTGAATGACCCTTGAGCTTTTGCTGTCTTTTCTGACGGCATGAATCAATTTGCCCCTACCTCTCAAACAGAGACTTGATCACCCTCCCAATGGTTAAACCATGCATGCCTGCTGGTGATAGATAAAAATTATTTTGCGTGTGTTACTAGATGCTTCCGTGTTCCTTGACACGCGCTGACTACGTGGCCGCACCTGATATGTGCTCGCATATAGTCGATAGGTCAGTCCATTACACGAAAGACAGCCTAATTATCAAAAGCGCCACGTAGATTCCTTGCCAAAATATCCGGTCGCAAATCCTACCCTTCCTTATCCTTTCCCACACTTAACTCATCGAGAAGCCCCAAACCTCTCCTTGGAAAAAACCGAGGTATTCTGTGATCCCTTTGCCCCGGGTTCTACTTTTATTTGTCCTTTACTGTTATACCCGGCCACGATTCTCTTGTCTTTGACATTCATTACCACGAATCCCTGTTAAAACTAGGCATTTCCATTTCATCTAGTTCGGATGATATCTCGTTTTTTATCTGTGTTTCTGAGCTTGCTGTGATCATTTACAAACTCCGTTGTCTATCCTCATTCACGCAGACTTTTGCTCCATACAGGAAAACTATCCTCAAACCTATCTCACAGTCTAACACCAATAGCTACCAGCCCATCTTCAATATCCCTGTTTTATCTGAAACACGTGCCCATTTATGGTGATCTTGAGACCAACGCTTTCTTGAGTAACCATCAACGGGATTCCACACGCCACGCGATCTTCTGCATACCCTTCTTACGAGACGGATGTCATTGCCGTACCTATATCTAGTGCTCAGTCGGGTCTGTAACATAGGCTTCTCATATACGGACCGCGTCATACTCGATTATTTCCATCCTAAGGCTCATGCACAGATTCTCCTCGCAAATGCAGAGGAACGAAGTTGTTCTCACGACCAAGAACATCAGTGCTATAGTCCTTTATGGATTTGTGCTCTCCCTCTCTATTCCTCCATTTATAAGATCTATGATCGTTTCTTGCTACTTCGAAGACGATTGTGAGGCGACCGGGCACACACCATTACTGTCTCCAATGAGCACTTTGCTACCATCGACGAGTTCATCGAATATACAAACCCTCCAAGTATCCATCTCCTCGCTATTCCACTCCCGATTGGCATCTTTTTATTAGGTCCAGTAAAATCGTTCTTCCTTTTTTATTCATTATTCTCTGTTTGCTTTACCTGGTCCTTGCGATGCAAGCATCTAGGAGGGTTTTTGCTCTCGCCTCTATCTAAATCCCAACTTATCAATCCCAATTTCCTCTGCCCTGGTTTACTGCTGTCGTTTGGGGTTTTGGACTTTCATCTCATTTTTCCTTCCTTGGTTCCACTCAACGTCATAGCTTGTACAGGCTTTGTCACGTACCTCCGATGCCAGGGTACGTTTAACCCCAACTATACGCGAGTCGAAAACAGCCTAGAGAGAGTCAGACCATCACTTGGCTGTGAAAATTAAAGGTTATTACTAGAAAACCTCATTGTTCTGACAACTGCCGTCAATCGGGAAGGGCACCGCGAAACCATGCACGTCGGCTGTTAGAAAAGTACTCATTAGTGATCCTGTGTCTAAACCTAAGTCTACCTCGAACCTGTGGGTGGACATTCCCATGTGCCTGATTACCGGGAGGACATTCTCTAACTGATACATCATCATAACTTAACTTGAGTACTTCGATTTGTCTCTACCGATTCACTAATCATGAGTAAACAAAACTGCCATCTGAAATCACCTTACCGTATGTGCACAGTCTATAGATGTAGCCACCCGAATCCATTTATTTAACCAAAGTGGTCATGAGTTATCATGGTTCTTCAGATTCATCCCGCGAATACAGTTGCTCAGTTGGATACCGGTTGCAGGCACCATGCATTTTGACACCTTGTGTTACGTCCATGGAGAAATCTGGGGTGTATATACGAGAGCAATTTCGGATACATGGTGAACGTACATGAAGCAAGACACAACACAGGCTTCATCTGAATCAATGAAGGTGTGCAGCACAGTTGATCGAGAACGAAACAACGAAGGACGTTAAGTGACCCTCTTAGAAACCTCGACCTTCTAAGGTTTCTTTTTGGTGGCTCGGTTCTGCGTGGTATGTGTCATGGTGTTACGAAATTCGTAGTGAAGTAGATAGGCCGCTGTTGGTCGTTGAATTGTCTACAGCGCTTGGTGATTGGCTTGCAAATGTTTCACCATTCAGGAAGATCTTATGAGTGTGGTGCATGCATCCAAACCATTACCTTCATTATTACCTTCCCCGCCCGATCTTCCCAACGAAAATTCCGTTTCCATTCCTGGATTCACTCATCAATTATATCAGTTACTGTCTTGCGTTCGTAGCCGTCCATTTCTACTTCTCAACTCATCGGTGAACGAAATAGCGACAACTGGAACCACGGCGCAACAAGTACACGGTTCACGGTTGATAATGGTGGACAGTAAAACCTGTCGATGGCGATCGATTACTGAGTTCGTCCAAACTAATGGCCCTAGTGAGGTGCTCATTAACTGAGATGAGACACCCGTTTTTTCGACTTGGAGGAGTGACCATGTGGATGGTGATATGAAGGCCTACCTACCTTGATTACCGCTTACAAAAAAGCAGATCGTTCTAGCTTGACCCCGACATATTTCACGGGACAGGTTAAGCTGATCGTTGCAGTATCTTACGGTATTTTTCTCATGTCCGCGGGGCTGTTAAGACGCTAAACCGACCAGCGATTGGTAGTGGTTTGTAGAACCCCGTTTCAGACAACGAAATCAGACTTCTTTGTACTATCCAAGAAATCTAATTGTTGATTGAACGTGACAACGATAAGACATTATCCGGAACAGTTTTTGGTGTTCTGTTGTCCAGTAGTCGAGTCTCAGAGGGTGATGACAGGAAACAGAGCAAATAGACGGGTTAAAAGCCCACAGAAGTGAAATTCACTAATCATGACCGTCGTTTTCAACGCAGCCACCATGGGAGCCATTTCAATGGTTTTGTTTGCTCTTACTTGCGTTTATCGACCATGTTGGTGTCTGTTGCATCGTCTCTTGACCCCTCCCAATTTCCTCTCTTTATTTCAGAAAGCCTCCCGTGCAAATAGTTTGCTAGATGGGATGTCGAACTTACGGCCGCCAGTTTTACCGATGGTATGTGATATTTGTATTGAATCCGGGTTTTCCATACTGTGTACACAGTGACAAGTTTATCTGATTTCCATAGCCATTGTTGGTCTCATGTCGCACACAAATCCTTAATTAGATATTAATGGGTTCCTGCAGAACTCTTTCGTCTAGCTCTTTGAACTATCAGCAGAGTACATCTCACCCACAGAGCATCAACACTGAGGCACACACTGCGTTGACTCCTCCCTATTTCATCTCTATTCTTGTCAGTTCTACTCAGCAATCCTAGTGTTGTTCTGATGTTGCACCTAATGATGTGAATGTGAGAAAATTCGGAATTCCTGTGACGGGACGGCGCTTGTTAGTGTTACAAATATTCTTAATACTGAAGTAGAATCCATGCGATCATCCGAATGAGGAAAGCGTGAAGCTTCACACAGCCCGTTGACAACTGAATTCGTGAGTATGACGGTCCGCTGTACCAGACAGCAGCAATGCAGCTCAACTCCCGATTGGCAATATTTTCCTGTGGCTACAGTCGAAGTGCTGAAATCGCATTTCAGAATGCGATTTCCTGACTGTCAAGATGTGCACCTTTTTTCAGTCACCGTCATGCTCAATGGACCGAAATTTCTCACGCACATGTGTGATCCTTACATAGCCTGTAATTCGTCATAAGTAGGAAGGAGCGATTGGGAATGAATTCGGATTGTTAGCGTCAAAAATGATTCGAGATATTGCTTCCGAACTGTTTCATCTATCCTTTGAAATGGTCCTATGGTCGAAGATGTCCACCTGATGACCGATTGGCCAGTTGAGTGTCACTTGATTGTCACTGTCGTGTCGAGCATCTATTGATTCATTGGTAGTGTGAAGGGATTTGGAAATTTTAACGGAGATTTTGTCCTGTAAGTGAAGCCATTCTATGCTGAAAAAAAGAATCGCCGCACAGACTCTGATGAGAACACCAGGTCAGCAATGCTGAAACATGATATATGGTTTTCGGGAGATTTCATTGTTTCATTCCATAATTTACCACACTCCCTCTTAGTCCGAACTTGTGTCGGATGGAACCAATCGAGGGATAGTCAGTTCATAACCTTTAAATGAAGCAGGAAGTACCTTACTCAGTCGATTGGGTGAATGCCGTCTTCTCTGACAGATATGGCTATTTCACACAGCCAATGGTAGTCTTGTATCAAATCTATCGCCGCCACGGCGTAGTTCTCCATCCTTGCCACATCGGATCCTACTGAACTGATTGCGTCACCGCCTTCAACGCGTGGCTCTCATTCCCTTGTTCTCCTCATCCCCGGTGAACGAAGCTGTGGCGGCTAGAAACACTGCATTTCAATGCATGGTTCGTAAGCAAACAAAACTGAGCTGGACTGAACTGAACTGTCAAAACCCTTAGTCACACAGACGGAGCCACTACCTATCGTTATAAGTGATCAGAAACTCGCTGCGCGATTCACAAAAGACGTGTCCGTCCAATCTATGCCGTGCGGGTGTTTTTCGTTACTTGTTCTACTACGGTTTTTATCTGGGAACCGTTCATTTTTTTGAAACTTGCTATGTAACTCAAGGTCACTCTTCGTTCCTCTCCTTTTTCCATAGGACCCTAACTGGAGCCCTGTAGACATCCAGCTGGCCAGCCAGGCCGTGAGCGAACTGGGACGAGACTACGTTGCCATTGCGGATCGCCTCGTCAACAAAACACCCAGCATGGTAGCTACCCTGTTCGAATTGTACAGTCAACATTTGAATCTCAACGAACTGGCGTCCATGGCCCCCGTTGTCCTACTATAGTTGGGGATGTCAGTCCCTCGTAATATGGCAACGCAACATGTCCCTTCAAATGATGAACCACATATCACGGGATTTTCCTTCATGTAACGTTTCTCCTAGCGGTTGCCCATTATGGAGCGCAGTGCTTTTCACTCACCCTATCACGGTTATGTATTCTCCCCTATGGTTATCAGTCACTGTGTGTACATATTCATTCATTTTCTGTCACTCTATCGTTCATAAAGATTATTTTTCAAAATGGTTTTGGTTACTTCCCGAAAATCGTGCGAATGTCGTCTTGTTTGCTTTTAATTCACCACAAGGAGGCCCCACAACGACTGCCTATGTAGCTGCTGGACATATAGGGCTTTGTGATGGGAAAATGACAATCGAATAAGCTGCAAAAGCCGGGTGTTCCTCATCATTCTTCGCCTTGTGGCTTCATGCCCGCTCATATTCTTATTTTCCTTGGTCGAGTCATGTTCGTACCCACTCGAGATAGTCCAGTAGTTAGGGCGCTAGCTTACGGACCTGACGGTCCGCGGTTCGAACCCAACCTCATCATCTCGACTGCTCCTATCTGGGCTTGAGAAACCTGGTGGCACCCTAGCCCTCGTGGCTCCTTTCGTTGGCGTGGCAGCTGGGCACCAAAAGGGTACCACAGCTCTGTTACCTGCGCCTCATCATCTGACTGCTCCTATCTGGGCTTGAGAAACCTGGTGGCACCCTAGCCCTCGTGGCTCCTTTCGTTGGCGTGGCAGCTGGGCACCAAAAGGGTACCACAGCTCTGTTACCTGCGCCCCAGGTCTCCTTCCGGTTCTCCCTATTTGAACTGCACCACAGAATGGATCGTAAATGCAGCCTGACGCCGATAGTACTTTTGAAGCTGTTCTGCTTCACATCGTTGATATTCCCTGCTTCCAGTAGTAAACGTAGTTGTGCAGCCTTACATGTTCTGTTTATTGTTGCGTTCGTGATTTTCTTCACACCACTGGTAACAAGGTCACCTTTGTGTGGCAGACGAAACAGTGCTCACCCCGACTCAAGGGCCAATCCCACTGTGACATAGTGTGGACCTTTCCGAATACTTTGCTTCAAGGTGTCCATGAGTGTCTGAGGTTCGTAGTCAAATGCGTTAGGTGTACAAATTTGTCCAGCTCCATGAAACAAAGTAGGGACCAGTGATACGTTCTATTGCGCTGCACAAAATCTGAGAGTTCCGGTACTGTCCTCCCCAAGTAGGTTCACGGTTAGCCGAACGGCGCGTCACCACATTTGGTTGTCTGGTCATCAAGACGTCTAGGACGGAAGGATAGGTATCCTCGAATTCATGGGTCAATTGAATCTTTTGAGGTGAACTGAGGACAAAATGCACTCTATCTGCGACTACTCGTGAGTAACGGTATAAATGTCGCCTACGTAAAGCCTGTGCGGTGCAGTATTGCTTCTTCCATTTTCGCCATGAATAGACCGGTAGACGTTGAGTTCAGCGGGCTGCCCATTACTGCGCCGCCAATTCGCCGATGCCCTAAGCTATAGAAGTAGGACTGCATCGTCGGTAAACTGAGCTGCTTAGTAACCGGACGCTGGAATTTACGTGATATCAGGATAAGTCATAATCTAGTCACAAATAAGATCGGCCGTCCCCTCTTAAGCAACGTTTGTAGCTGCACAGTGAACGCCGAAGGGACAGATAATGGTAAATTTCAGTCGGGTGTATCTGTCGAGCTGAGTTGCCAACTCTACTCTATGAACTTTAGCATTTCTACCAACCATTAGACTAGTCTGTGAACCATTCAGAGACAGTATAACGTATCCCATGTTTATGCCTTCTTCAGCTTAAAGTCTAGGTGTGTGTGCAATGCTAATAGTAATGCACGCCCAATTTACCTTTCCAAGAGGAAGCCGTTGACCAGTCGACCTTGGACCTCGGTGTATCTTACAGAGTGGTATGCATTTTGGTAGCGTAATGCTGTATGTTCAGAATGGTCTGTCTACTTAAGTAAACAACCTTTACTTGAACAATTATCAGTTTTGACAGCTACCAGATGTGGCATAGTCCAACTCTATCGTTTCATGAGCCGTGAATACGAAGAAAAGTCCGATGCCTTCAGAGTTGCCTTTCGAAAGTTTCACATTGGTCCACCCAGAGAATACCCCTCAAACAAACGACGGGCTGCTTATCGAATAGGCAGGAATGAATCCTTCAATATTCTCATGGTACGCTTCCTTCCGGTAAGGATAGCGAACTAACCGTGCAGTACATCTCTGAAGCCGTTGTTTGAATAATTCGATGCCCAAATCCTAGTATACAGGCTGCATTCCTTGGATGATACAAGTCTGTTGTCTATACCGGCTGATGAACGTGCACAATACTTCTTTCAACGAAGTGGATCATTATCGCGTCATCGGGTTGCAAAGAATGCACTCTCATAAAGCTATAACTGCAGCTTACTGATGAAAGACAATATATTTTTCCATAGACATTTTAGTTGTCCCAGTAGTTAAGGCGCAAAACTACTGCCGGAAAACCCAGAGTTCGAACCCAAACCCGGGTTTTAGCTGCTTCTGCCTAGGCTTGCATAGCCTGATGGCATCTCCTCGTGCATCCTGTGAGTTGCATGCCTTCAGAAATACTTCTGATACATGCTTTTCATTCGAGGAGATCGGCTACTACATCGACAAAAATCGTAATCTGATGTCGGTTCCAGAACACACCTACTATATGACCACTGTGCGATGGGCAGATACGTGTATGCAAGGGCAACTACTTACACTGAGAAAGGTTTCCTCCCTATAACCGTCCGACTGCCCATTTGAGAAACCTGTGTATCCATTTGGGTAACAGATGCTGACGTTCGGGGATGAAACAGCATTCGTCACCTGAAGCCCTTAGGTTAGGTCGACCGTCCGTTTGCACCTGTTCTCTCAACTTATCCTAACAGTGACTGGGTTTTTATGCCCCACTCCCCCAACAATCATGGTTTGCCGTGTGCCTTTCGGTGAATTGAGCGGCCGATGAAACAGGTTGTCGGAAATTCACATTCCACATACACTAAACTCTCCGCTTCCACCGATGGCTGACTCAAAAATTTGAGAACATATAAGAGAGAACCATATAAGTATGATCCTTTGTCTCCCCGGTAGATACCTCGACGGGACAGGAGGCAGTCCATGACCGGCTTCACTTCTATTTCTGCTGTGCCCCAACCCCACTCAAGCCAACAAAAATGCATTTTGGATACCCGGTCATTCGTTAGAAAATCCTGTTGGTAATCGTTTCCCTCGGTTGTCCGTCTGCCCAATTGCATCGTAAGGCCTCTACGGTGAATTTTTCCCCCTAACGAAGACTTCATTTTAAGAAACTTGTTTTCACTGAAATTCTGAGAATTATGCATGAAGAAGATAAAAAAAAGCCCCTTGAAACAAAAGTTTGCACAAGTCCGTCACGATATTCTCAATCGAATATTATCACCTAAAGAATCGCAGTACTTTCAAAGTTTATGTTAAGCACTATAGATCTAGGAAAAATTCAACCCTCTGACTGACAATCAGTGTAATCAAGTCCGATGCAGTCGCGCGAGTAATCACAAGTGTTCCAAATCGCTCAAACCGGTACATCGTCTCTTATGCGATATACAAGTCTCGAAACCAATTAATGTCGATAACTGGACGATGCAGGTTGTCATACGAAAAATCTACTTGGTTACGGAACGAATCAGAGACAATGCCTCGGGTGCGGAAAGCCACCTGAAGGCTGAGAATACCCGCAAACGTACCGAAACTTTCCTATTTACTTCGGTTCATGCAATTTTTTCTTCAATTGCCCAGTAACAGACATAGCAAAGAACGACAGCAATTTACGATGAAATGCGTTACATGAAGAGCTAATAACAGCGGTAAACTGTTAACTGTATCTTGGATAAACACTAAACAGAACAGAA